ACGAAACAGATGATAAGTGAACGAACGTCATTGAATTGTTACTTTTTGTTCGGGAATTCCCGTGATATGATATTACATGTGCAGTCTTACCAGCGGTAGATTACAAAATTGAACATACGATAAAGGTAAATAATTTATTTGAAATAATTTATAAAAAAGTCGCCATCTCAAAAGTCCAAACGTCGCTAGAAGTCGCTAAATAATTATTTCTCGCTAAAACGATTTTTTATCCGCTAAACATTGTTAAAATCCGCTAGATCTAGCGAGAAAGCCGCTAAAATGGCAACACTATAAGTAAGTTAGGGATGGTTAGGGACGTTAGGGACGTTCATTGAACATCGATGTTAAAAGTTAATACATCGATGTTTTAACATCGATGTTTCCACATGTCAAAGAAACATCGTTGTCATTAGCTATGGCCACACTATGCCTTTTCATCTTCAGCTTTCGTCGTCATCTTTCTATTCAACTTTCGTTCAATGCATTCATTAATTGAATTCGTCGATGAACGCGACGCCAACGTAGTCATTTTGTTTCTGTCAGTGTTGAAAACATGAGCGACTAGAACATTTTACTTGGTGGAATATGTGCCGCTTACTTAGTGATAGCATATCACACACACATGTCGGAAAGAAATTCAATAGCTTTTGAAAATGAATGAAAAATTCAATGTAATATCTTTTTCTTCGTGTTTGTTTGTTGCTGTTCGGGCTGCCTCACGTGCGCTGTGGACTGCGCTGTGACGCATGCACTTGATGTACGAAAAAAGGCACAGTGTGGACATAGTTAATGAACCCATAATCAATTATTGGGAGATTATATAAAGAGTTTTAGAAGCTGGCTCTTTATGTAAATTACTATCTCTTCAATCAATAGTAAAAAAATATTTGACTGTTTAACAAATGCACTAGATATTGGTTACTTCTTCCAATTTTCTTATTACTGTTTTAAACTAAGTAAATCGTTTATTAATTTCTTTTATTTCATTAATAATATACCATAAACGGCATGCATATTTTTTATTCATCTAATTCTAATCCATAAAATAAACATCGATGTTGTGAGTAGGATAAACATTGAACATCGATGTGGAGTTATCAATGACAACATCGATCTCATCATCGATGTTTCTGTAATATTGATCATCCCTACCATAAGTCACACAGAATATGGAGTGTAGAAGTAAGGAGTTACGGAGTGTAGAAGTAAGGAGTACAGACTGTGTATTAAAAAGTGCCCATAGATAACCGTTAAATAAGGGTGGCGCCACTATAACTACTGCGTATACTTTAAAGAACGTACCGAAAAATATTACTGAGATAGACGACTTTTTAGAGGTTATATTTACTAAATAAAATTATTTTAGATTTTAAAGCTACTGAGCAGTTTAGCAGCACACTTAAACCGTCGACAACTGCTAAGTTCATTTCATCCCAGTAGCTACTACAGCGCTGTTGTGGAGAGTTTTTGAACTGTTATTTACTGCTTACAGATGGCCACTTTTTCAACTATTCTACGTGTATGGAGTGTAAAAGCAAGGAGTTGGTACTCCTTGCTTCTAACTCCTAGGGAGTATCAACTTAAAAATTTTATCTAAATATGTTTAAAAGTCATAAAGATTATTGTATAACCTAAAACTACGTTATCGTCCTTACTCACTCGAGGCCACGCAAATCATTAGTCTATAGGTTTCTCCGTAGACAGAGAAACCTAGGTTAGTTTCTCTGTCTACGGGTAACCTAGGTTCTTTCTTTTGAAATACACTTTTCATGCGTACATACTTTCCATGATTATTCGTCAGGTGGTGGAGGCCTGGTGGCTGTAGCACAGGGAATCCTCGTATTGTCACCAGTCTCTACAACTAGCATTTGCAAATTACTTAAAAATTTTTTGATGTAATGATGTTATAAACTGCAATTGTAGAGAGAAATAAAGATTATTATTATTATGTGGGGTATCTATATAGTATTCTCATCTGGTTGGGTTTTATAAATATATAATTATAAATTAAAATGAAAAGATAAATATACATAAATATAATTAAAATAAATACAAAAATACATAAATAAATAAAAGCCCAACCAGATGGAAGCCCTCGGCAGGGGAAACCAAACGGCCGAGGGTTAGGAGGAAAGGGAAAGAAACCGGCGGACGATGCGGGTGGTATCGAGGAGCACCGCCTTTTGCATTTGAGCCCGGAGCGGTCCGTCACGGAGTCCCAGTCGCCTCAGATGACCCGAGAGGCTGACTGGGATTAGCCCATTCGCAGAGACGACTACAGGAATAATTTCGACCGGCATACCACCCCAAATGTCGGTCATTTCGTGAGCCAGGTCCAGATATTTTGTTCGTTTATCTGTTTCGGCTTTCACGAGGTTCTCTTCATACGGAATGGTAATGTCGACCAAAAATATCCTTGACTATGCCCGGTTCATCAGTACAATATCAGGCTTATTCGCAAGAATAGTCCTGTCCGTGATGATGGCCCGGTCCCAGTAGAGCCTGGCGCGGTCATTTTCGAGCACGGCTTCCGGCAAGTACTTGTAATACGACAATTTGCTGTCCACGAGACCGTATTGCAGAGCGAGCTCCTGGTGTAGAATTCTGGCTACTAGGTTGTGCCTGTGAAAGTACTCAGAGTTAGAAAGCGCCGAACAACCGGAGATGACATGCCTAAGTGACTCCCCGGGATGGCGACAAGCTCGACAGACGTCGACAGTGCCATCCTTTAGGATGTACTGTCACTGTGTATATCTCCGATAGTTGTTGGTCTTAATAACCTGATCCTGTATTGCACAGACAAAACCCTCGGTTTCCCCGAAGAAGTCAGTTGCCGAAACGTAGCCAGTTGAGGGAGCCGGCTGTATCTACGTGGGGCTCATGTAGCGCCCTGTAGTACCTCCCGTGGAGCTCCTTTTCCTTCCATACGGTCTCCCGGTCGGAAATACTCTGTACTGCCGGGTCCTGCCATTGCTCGTTGGCTAAGGATGGAGGGGTAAGTCCTTTATCACTAGAAATGACGTCATTATAGAATGGATTATCCGATCTCGCCAGGAAGTGATGACGGAGGTTGCACACTTCGCGATTATGCATGGTGAGCGCGCTCAGAAAACCACGTCCATCAAGTAAGTACAGCCTCATTACCGACGATCTCCGATGATGCATCCTATGGGACGTCATGGTAGTGCGGACTTTTCTATCCAGGGCGTTAAGTTCGGTCTGAGTCCACCTGAGTATGCCAAAGGTATACATGAGGACAGGCATGACCCAGCCGTTATATGCGTGTGTCTTATTCACACCGGACAGAAGGCTGTTAAGCACTTTGGTCAAGCGTGGATAAAACACGTCGTAAACTGACTGTTTCATACCAGCCTCATCGATACCGATGTTCTATGACACACCCAGGTATCGGTATATTTCAGCCTCGGAAAGGGTCCTTAAGTTGACGGGCATAGACAAGTCTATGCCCTCAGAGTTAGCAATCCTTCCCCTTTCAACATGGAGGACCGCACAGTTATCCGTCCTCAGCTCCATTCCAATGTAATTGCTAAATTCACAAGTGATGTTTAGCAATTCCATAAGATGGGAGCGACTGGAGACAAATAACTTGAGGTCATCCATATAGAAAAGGTGGGTCATTTTTGTCCCTCCTTTCCGTAGCTGAAATCCCCTCCCGGAGCCCTCCAGTAAGGTACTGAGAGGGTTCAGAGAAAGGCAGAACCAGATTGGACTCAGACAATCGCCCTGGAAGATACCCCTTCTTATCCTTATGTGGTTCTCCGCAGCCATCATCCGCTCGCCCAGATGACAAAGGATCGTACTCCATTGCCCCATGCACTGCTCGAGGAAGTCTCTAACTGTACAGTCAATCTTGTACAGCTCGAGGACCCTCTTTAGCCATGTATGGGGCACCGAGTCGAACGCCTTTCTGTAGTCTATCCAGGCGGCAGAGAAGTTCCGACGGTTGCGTTTCACAACTTTGCCTATGATCGCGTCAATGAGGAGTGGTTCCTTGGTTCCACGACCACCGCCCCGATATTTTGAGCGCGTGACATCACCTGGTTTAGCTCCAGGTGACGAGTGATTTTCGCGCTCAAAATGGATGTCAGTGTCTTATATATGGTGGGTAGGCACGTGATGGGGCGGTATTTGCTCGGATCTGTGGTATCCTGATTTTTAGGAACCAAGTGAGTAATCCCAGTAGTGAAGAGGCTCGGGAGCGACTTCTGGTCGAGAAACTCTTGAAACTGTAGGGCGAGCACAGCGTGACACACTATGAACCTCTTCAGCCAGTAATGATGCAACCCGTCGAGCCCCGGACTTTTCCAGTTCGGGGCCCTACGGACCGCCTCAGCCACGTCTTCCGGCGTTATGGTTATGGGGTCCATAGGCGTAACGCTCGCACCCTGGCTCGCCACAACTTCCATCCAAGGACCCTCGCTGTGGATTACGGGCTCTGACCACAGGCCACGTCAGAATGCGATAATGTCAGCCTAATCCGGTCCTGGGCCCGCTCCACATACCTCTGGTCGCCCCAATGATTTATAGAGCCTCTTTTGATCACTCTGGAAGAGACGATTCTGGTTGAACCGCCTTGACCTCTCGGTAAATCTTCGAATCCGCTTCCCCCAAGCAGCGATCTTTTGCTTCAGGTCGTCTATGCGCTCCGTTAGTTTCTGCGTGATATCCGGCTGGGGCAAACTGATATTTGTCCCAGCGGTGGCATAATCCTCGGTCTATTATTACCCGACCTGAAGCTTGTCAGTCTGCCGATAAGGGCCCTTGCCTTTGCGATACGGTCCTCGATTCTTTTTCTCCAGGCTGGGATGGCGCTTTGTCTAGTAGCGCGTCCAGCCATGGGAAGTTTGGCACCAATAATACGGCAAACTGCCACTGCAGCGCCAAAAAGAATTGAGTCCGTCTCGCAAAGGTCCCGGCTGGCTTCCAAATAGGTCACCAGCATTGGGTTAAGAGCCTCATGACAGCCCGATTTCGCTTGCTTAGGGGTAAGCGGGGAAGTCGCGGTCGATTTTCGAGAGGGATGCTGCGTGTTTCCAAAATCTGCTCCTCATTTGCTCTAGTTCGTGGGAGACTATTTCATCGTCGTTCGAATCAACCACAACTGGAAGATCCATGGCGGCTTCCACGTGTGGATGCTGGTCTGTCGCATGTGGAGCTGCAACCCCAGCCATAGCCGATTCATTCGATGACGGAATAGCCTCACGTCGTAGTCGTTCGAGTTCGGCATTATCAAATATTTTCGAGCGCATGATGTACCGAACTCAGTCTGCTAGGTTTTGTTCCGTGACGGGAATAGACGGCTCCAGTTTAGCAAAACAGCAATGCATCCGAGCCCTATACGCCATCCCACAGTTTCTTTCCCTTTCGCCCTATAGTACGCCCGCAATGCGTTTTCGTTCGTAGCTTTTGTCCAACTCATGCGACGTGCTCCACCAGCGGAGGGTGCCGCTTGCTGAGTCCGAGAAGACCCAGCCGACACCAAGCCTTCTGGTGGGGATGATGGATGCGAGGGGCTGCTAGGTGATCGTGCAGCTCCTCGCGCTCGGCTGGCGGCCCGCATGCTGCCGCGTCCAGCGCCAGCTCCAGACGCGCCCCGGCGACCCCCAGGCAGCGGCCCTATGCGCGTTCCTCTCTGTGCCATCATCCATTTTATGGGCGCCAAATAACGGGAGACGCCCAAGCCCGGCACCGTTTCGTGGTTGGGTCATATGCACAAACGGACCTTTGCACTAGCGCATGCAAACCGATAATCAATAACCGATAATTTATCGGTAATCAGTTCATTTTTTCACCGATAATTATCGAAAAATTTCTTAAAAATACCGATAAACGATAATTTCATAAAGGTTTTATGCAATCATTTCCAACACTACCGCGAGTTATTTTTTGGAATTCGCGCTGCGTGCAGTGGCATTCCACTAGCCCGTGTCTATAGCTCTCTTGCTCACTCATTTTATGACCAACACAAGTGCGCAGTCGCGTGCAGGACAGAACGCGCCATTAAGCGCGGCGTGGGAAGTTTGTTCAGTGTGATCCAGTGTGGTGTGATGTTTGGTTGGTTGCGTTGTGTTCTGTTGAGCGTGCTTCGCTTTTTTGTCGACACGACGCTAAAGGACTTACAGTAGGTAAGTAAAATAATCTAGATAGATAGATTTTAAGTAGATTTTTTATATTATGTACTTGTTTGACGTTCGCTTTATAAGCCCACTTCATATTCATACATCTTCTTTACTTCATAGCCCACAGTGGTCAGTCATATAAGTAGGTAATTTTATATAATATTTTAATTTTAGGTAGGCACACGTTATTTAAATGTTACGTAGTGTGTTTAAAAGTTTATTTACTTACACAATACTTAAATATCATTCGCAGTATTACCAAATTACCGTATTTTTATCGAGATCACGTCTCAGTGTGTCTCAGTCTACCAGTGTTGCCCGTAGCTTCGAATTTCGAATCATAATATTATTAGTAGTGTGAATATTAAAAATATCTTTTGTTTTAGGTACTTACTACTTACTGCAACGAGTGAATTAATCAATAATGTCAAATAAAATAAACTACATTCCTGTTTACAAAAAAAGTTCCGATCCAACGTCGGTTTGGTATCATTTCCTAAAGGCCGATACGGTGATTCTGCAAAATGTAAAACATGTTAAAAAGTTATTAAGTGTGCGGGTGGTACTACAACAGGACTACGCAGCCATTTAAGATTACATAATATTTCACTTGACAGCGAAAGGCTTGCTTCAGAAGTAGCTAGGGAAACTGCTGGGACTTCCAAAAGAAAAAATGATAACTCTTTATTGGAGTCACCAGTTTCAGCGAAAAATTGCAGAATGACCGACTACTTCTCACAATCAAACAGATCATTGGATGTTATGGTATCAAGAATGACAGCACTTGACGGTATGCCATACAGGGCATTTACAGAATCTGAAGACCTGAAGCATCTATTTAAAAAAGCTGGTTATAAATTACCTACGAGCGCAAATACTATAAAAGATGTGACTATAAAGTTTTATGATAAGACTAAGAAAAACCTTATAAAGGAAATACAGGAACTAAAGGATGAAGGACACAAATTTTCGGTTTCAATAGATGAATGGACATCTTCAAGAAATAGGCGATATATGAATGTGAATCTTCACTGTGCATTTTTCAAAGGTAACCACCACACGACGAGAAATCTTGGTTTATGTAGGACGTATGGCTCTGTTACCGCTATCAAGTGTGAAGAATACCTGCGAGAAAGGCTACATGAATTTAAATTAGATTTTGACACTGATGTGATCGCCATTATATCTGATGGAGCTTCTGTTATGACAAAACTAGGAGGAAATTTAAACTGCATACATCAGTTATGCTTAGCTCATGGCTTGCAATTGGCCATCGTGGATACGTTCTACGTAAGAAATCAAGAAAACGTAAATGAGGCTCAAGAAGAACTTGCCGAAAACGAAAATAATCTGAACACTGTTTGCATTGGCACTGAAGATGATACTGAGACTGGTGGATTTCAAATAGAGCAAGCTCCAACTGTAACAGTTGACGTGGAGACAAATATTAAGTTTGGGCTTGTTGTAGAAAAGGTGAGGAATATTGTGCGGATGTTCAGAAAGTCACCAACGAAATCCGATATTCTTCAAAATTACATAAAAATGGAGCTTGGTAAAGAATACGCACTGATATTAGACTGCAAGACGCGCTGGAGTACTCTTTGCAATATGATTGGTAGGTTTATTAAAGTTAAAAGAGCAGTCTTAAAAGCACTCATTGATGTAAAATGTGATATCCAGATTAATGAAGTGGAGTGGTCTATTCTCGAAGACATTTATGAGAATCTCGATGTAATGAAAGTTACTGTTGAAGCTGTTTGTCGCGAAGATGCTACTCTGCTTAGTGCTGATGCTGCCATGATTTTTGCACTTAAAAAACTTGAAACTCGTAACACGTTGCTTAGTAAGGAGCTTCATGCAAGTCTGAGCAAAAGGATCAAACAAAGGCGGCTACCAGTTGCAAGTCTAATGCAATACCTTCACAACCCAGCAACATATTTTGAAGAAAATGAATATGACGCAGATGTTTATCCGCGCTTGCCTAACGATTGTCTGCAAGAGATGGTATTGGGGCTTCTAAAATACGATTCGGCCGCACAATCTTTTACTTGCAACGATGTCAATGACTTACCTACTGATGATTCGCAGAATGAAGTCGGCAGCAATTCCTCATTATCAAATAAAGAATTAATTAACCAACAAATCAGCAAAATTATCTTTGATGACACGAGAAGAGTTGGAATTGGAAATCTTTCAACGTCTAAAGAAGACTTATTGACACTACTGAAGGTTGAAATGCTGTTATTTGAAAATGGAGGTGATCGAGGCCAATTGCTGTCAAAAAGCTTATCGATGGATTCGTTCAATTAAGCCAACAAGTGTAGAGAGTGAACGCGCGTTTTCTGCGGCTGGAATATTATGTAATAAACTGCGCACAAGCCTTAGCGACAAAACTATAAATTGCTTGTCGTTTCTTCGCACTTATTTCCAATAACAAAAAAATTGTAAATAGATTATGTATGTTAATAATATACCTACAAATTATTCTAAATTAAACGACTGATTTAAATGTTACAATAATTGATTCCTAATGAAACCAAAAAATGTTAAGTAATAGGTTAATATTAATATTTTATTTTATTGTTTATATATTTTTTTGGTTTTGTTTGTGAGAAAAAGATAGTAGTATAGCTAGTGCTATTATGATTAAGACTTGTTTTTTCTATATTGATTTTTAGTTTTATGGAAATAAAACCATATTTTAATTAAATAACGTATTTCATTGAATTATAAAAACAATAAATTTTCTTGTAGAGAGTAGAATGCACAAAGAAAGCAATTTTAAGAGGCAGGTATTTTTTTAATGTAAATCGGTAATTCTCGGTTTTTATCGAAAAAAAAACCGATAAAAATTGAATTATCGATTATCGAAAAGTTCCGATAATTGCATGCTCTACTTTGCACCCATAATTTTGCCTAGGCACGGCGCTCACACCTCTTAGCAGGGCGCTGACTGACTGCGCCGATGTAGCAGTTTTGTCACAAAACTGTAACGTCAGTGGGCGATGGGGTCGTCACTTCCCCACGCCATTTATTATTATGAGGGGTATAAATATAGTTTTCTCAATCAGTTGGGTTCTATAAATATATAATTATAAATGAAAATGAAAAGATAAATATACATAAATATCAATAACATAAAATAAATATAAAAATACATATATTATTATTATTATTAATATTAGGTAGGTTTCTCTAGGTCCATGAAGTTAGCACCCGAAAATAATTATTAAAAATGCGACTAGTATAAATCGATTGCGCGTAAAAAATGATGTTAATCGGTACTAATTACTCGTTTGCGCGTCAAATATTTGTTTAGATGATTAAAAAAATAAGGCGGGTGCTGTGAAATAATAAATTTTTATTCTTTGTTTATAAATGATGGTAAAACAATAATAAAACAATGTAAAATTGTTGATTTTCACATGCGCAATCAGCACCCGATATCAGTTTACCCATAAGTTATTTATTTACATCGTAAATAAATAATTAAATAATATTTTTTTTCTTTAGTTGGCAGCAACAGCTTTCTAATAAGCTTTGCCAAAAACCTGTATTATTTATGACTTTATAGTTTAAAATCTTTTTAGTTTCCATAACAAGTTATAGATATAGATTGAAACCTCTTTTATTATATTTTCAAATAAAAAAAAAAACAAAAGAAAAAATATGGTGGCAAAATTGTTAGTAAAACTTGTTTCGTTGTTTTTCTTAGTTCACATGCGCAGACACTTAATACACAAAATCGCATCATTTACGTATCAAAGTCCATTCTAAATCATTATTTAAACTATAAAACAGGTGTAACAATCCACCAACGGTCAGGTTCCCGACAAAACTTCTTTGTTTAATATAAACTGACTGTGAAGAATATTTTATTGAGAATTTTTGACAACAAAATACGTCTGACTATAATATGGGCAAAGATTCCTTTGCCTAGAAATAATTTAAAAAGAGAACTGTCTACGGTATTCAGTTTTATTTTCTATTTCTCTGTCTACGTTTTCTATGCTCAAAGTATTCAGTAATCTATGGTTATATTTGTCATTTGTCAGTGTTACTGTCATTGTATTAAAATCAATAAATCATGGTTTGATTTGATGGTTAAATTTTTTTTAGATATTATTACTGAAAAATATTAATGGTTTAAAATCTTAAACTTCTTGAGATAACGTTGCTTTGTAGGATAGTCTGTCACTACAACTAGAATGGCATTAGTTATAAGAAAACCTACATTTGATATTTTGTCAGCTGCAAAGTGGATGATCAGAAAAGGTTATTTATTTGTTTAAATTTTTATTATATTTATATTTTTTAAAAAATGCTTATAAATTTCATTCATATTTTATAGATTGTCGAGCCCTATCTTCTTTGGTTGAAAAAACAGAGGAAACGGAGAAACGACCTGTAGGTCGGCGGGCAAGATTCCAAAATCCAGCTTTAGAATATAGACACATTTTTCCAGAATTTTTACCAGATCCAAATCCTAAATGGCGAAATAGCTTACGTGAGAAAATGGAAAGAGCAGATATGCTAAAAAGGAGAAGTCAGATTGATATTCCAGAATTTTATGTTGGTATGTGTTGTGTGCTATAAAATCTTTTTATATATTTTATTTTTGCCTATATCTTTATAAGATTTTTGAAGTAATTTAATCAATTTTATACATACATATACTCTAGATTATATTTGTATTCTGCAGTAACAAATTTGGTATATCATTTATTTTTAAATTTCTTTCTATGACAAAAACTGACATAATATTACTTATGACTTATAATTCTTAGTAAATAGAAAGCAACACTTCTGCTGTTTTATAAACTACCACTATAAATATATATATTTCATAAATATCAAAGTAGGATAATTATAATTCTATAACAGCATTTATTTATCCACAATTGGATATAAGCCTTTTTAACCTCTCAAACACCAAGCGGCCAAATTTGACTGCTTCGATATTCTGTCAAAATTCAAGCGGTCAAATATGACTGCACCCACCCACAGCACTTTAACCCATAAAAACTTATAATTAGAGACTACTTGGTTGACATTTAGATTTGTTTGGCAGGAATTTGGGGGAGTAAAGTGTTTTATTTGGTAGAGGTTTGGTCCCCAATTATAATAATACCACTCCCATTAAAAGATAATGCACTGTTCTTGAGAAAAATCAAAAACAAAATCCCACAGAACTAACCTCAAAATCATAACTCAAAATGAATTAAGGGAATGGGAGGTGGTAGAGAGGGAGGCGGGGGTGTTGTATAGTCGCCCTCCACTTCCACATCCTGCCGGACATGCTTAGTTATTTTTTTATAAAGTTTTAAAAATCTAATTTTGAGGTTATGTTTTTTTAATGTTTTTGACTATAATCTTGATTTATGGGTGGAGAGAGTTGGAGGAGGGAAGCACCACATAGCGCAGACGAGGGAAGGCCGGTCGACGGAGCCCCGGGGCTCCTACTTCTGAGTGGTTTGCAAACAAATAACCACGAAGGAATTGGCGTGGTCTATTCGCTCGCTTTGCTCGCTCACTCGACCCCACCATCCCCTTCTAACCTAACCTGTCCGAGTCGGGGTGCCTAAGTCCCTCCGCTTCGCTCGCTCTTGCACTCAACAAAACACCAAAATATTAGCTTTTCTAATTACTTTAAATTATAAACATAATATGTAATACAATAATAACCACACTACGGCTCGCACAGGTGCCTGCGATTTGCTACGACGGGCTGCTCTCCCTCCGCACCTACGGCTTTACAAAACACTAGGAGTAGGGCAGACAAGACTACGTGGATTCGGGGAGTGCTTATTTAATTTTAGTACAGATTCGATCAGATCAGATATCTATAGTCAGGTTGCCTTTGCTCCCGCCACAGCCACAAAATTTTGTATGCTATCCAGCTTTCACAGTAATATCGTATAATTTTTTTTTAAGTCTAGAACCCAGAGCAGTAAATTTAGTTAATAATAAAAAATGTAACACTTTTCATACTTTACGTATTTAGGGTTATAATAGTTTTTATTTATTTTTTCGATAACGGTGCATTACCTTTTAATGTGAGTGGTATTATTATAATCGGGGACCAAATCTCTACCAAATAAAACACCTTAATCCAACCCTACTACTTTTCTATGAAGAAGTTTGGCATTATAGAATCAATATGAAATTTTTTACCTCAAGTAGTGGAATAAAAAAAACAGTTAGTCTATGGATACTAATTTATATTCTACGTTCATTACATACGCCATTTTCATTTGGATGTTGTTGTGTTGATTTTTGGATTTTTCTAGTGTTTTATTGGTGTTTTACTATAGTGTTTTATTATAAAATTGCTATAAAAGTTTTTGTGTGAATATAATTTATCTTTTTACGTAAATCATTTCAAGTAATATATAGAAATAATTGTGATTTTCATTCTGCCGACATCCGCTTGGTATGTTTTTTTTTTTGTTATCAAAATACAATAAAATCCTTTTGTAATGAAGTAAAACCTGACTTTTGTTTAGAGCACAGGATAAAGAATTATGTATAGATTTTATAATGCCAAACTTCTTCATAGAAAAGTAGTCTCTAAATATAAGTCTTAATGGTTTTTTTAAGTGCTATGGGTGGGTGCGGTCGCATGCGAACCCTTGGGATTTGCCAGGCGCATGCGACTGCATGGGGATTTTATGGGAATTGAAGGGTTAAAAATTTATCAACTTCCTGTATGTAAAACTTACTGAATACCCACCAAATTGGTCATGCCAGTTGGTAAGTGGGTGAATCAACTTTTAAGAACCTACTTTGTTGACATTTTGTAAGAACCAACATATATTTTTTTTGGACTAAAATTAAAAGGAATCTTGTATAAGATGAAGTTTAATATGTCGTAGTTTTCATTTCTGTCATTCCATTTCTCATTCATTCGGTTTCATTTCTGTCACAATATCAAATTTCTATTATTTAAGTTATTAAGTTAATTTTGTAAGCCGGGCTTGAAATTTTTCTCTTGCGTTACATAAATAGAAATGATTTTTCTTAATAAATAAAAATCTATTGCAGTACTTTCTAACAAAAATCATTTATTGATACATAAAAGCAACCTTTATGCACAAAAAATGTAAAAGTTAATTGAAAAATGTAACCAATATTTAAATTTTTTATTCTACTGTGTTACTCTTTTTTAAAAATAAAAACTTTTCGATATCTTTTTTTCTACATCTATTAGACATTTGTAACAATTTACTTCAATTAAGTCAGTCTTAAATGCAAAGGAATCAGCATTCATTTATAGAAAAAAAATATACCAAGAAGATCAATTCTGCAAA